TTATCCAAGTCTGGAACAAGTTCCCTTAAAACAATAGAAGTTAAAGTAATTTCTTCAAATCGGAACTTAAAAACAAAGCTCTTTGTAGTTGAATAAAAGTCAAAGTGAAATATATAATGGCAATTCAATGTCACAATGCCTTCGACATTTTTCAATTTTACATTTTAGTTGATGTAAATTTTAGGCTTATTCTATTTCTTTCATTACTTTTTTATGTAGTTCATGTGCTTATTTTAAACCCCCATTGCATTTTTATCACATAAATACTAGTCTGCACAAATTCACTTCTGTTTTATCCAAATTTTAACAAGTTTTTGTAAAGTTTTACGGTTTCCAATACAGCATTCGCTATGACCTCTATGAAATTGTTGAGCTATAACATCTTCAAGACGGATTTGATCTGAGTAGTTCTTAGGTGCGCTCTCCACTTAGAATTAAAAGTATATAGGGCAGGTCTATCACTGCTGTCTCCTGACTGCCCCAAAGAAACTTCAAAAAATCCTCGTTACAAAAAGATCTTCCTTACATTTAGGTTTTAGTGACTGATATTTGCACTATCTGATCCTCATTTGCCAATGTGAAGTGAATTAGGTTAGTCTCTAATTATGAGATACTTTTTATAAGGTTTATGATTATGGTTTATTGTTTTTCATGTTCTTATTTGTGTCTTTTTCTCTTTTCCTGTGCATGTTTCCCTCTTCCCCTCCTGTCTTTACTTTGAGCATCTCCTCCCTCTTTATATACTATTCTTTTTGAGCTTCTATCACTTCACTGTTCACTGTTAAATTTTGTCTATTCAAACCTTCACAGCATCTCTACAACTGAGTAACTATTGATCAGGGTTGGAGTGGTTATGCTACCTAATGAGAAGCTAAATATAGCAAACGCTGCAACGGGCCTGCTGCGGCATTCTGGCTCATCTGCTGCTCAAAGTGTGAATAGTCACACCGTTGGCATGACAACACAGCGGTCAAGGCTTTATGAGCAGTCACAACAGATTGTGTGCTTGTGTGCAAGTTTGCCGCCCAAATATAGAAAGAGATGAATGAAAGAAATGGGAACCATATAAGTGAAGAACTTTGTAAAGCTAGTTGCTAAAAAAAAGGCAGTGGTTGTTAAGATGGTTGGACATTAATGGTACGAAATAATTTTTCTTATTTTAAGTCATTCTCTACTGCATTTTATATAAAAATAGAAAATGTTTAGATTCATTGTGGAGTCAGTAAAAAAAAATGTAATAGCATAAAAATTCCCACCTACATTCCATTGTTACCATGTAAGTAAATTGGCTTAAGCCTACATCACTGAGCCTTATTGTGTTCACTTTGACAAGTTTAGCTGCCCACACTTCTTCTTTGTTGCATGGTAACCAATTGAGTCACAATCCTTCAATACCAACCCACCTTTTTTTCCCAGCCAGCTGGTGAAAAATGAAGAATAAGCATGTGCTAATGGGATATCTTCTTTAATAGCCTACTGTTTCATTCAGCTGTGTGGCCACGATAAGGACTACCCACTGTGTCTAATCTCATCTTCTCTCTCTCGTTTCACCTGAGGCACATCTGCAATCAAGTCTATTTTTGACCAGCACTACTCCATGCTTTGCTTTGCTGGAATTCACAAGGGAAAAGCATGCCTAAACATGTACAATTATCAAAAGATATGTTCACTTCACAAAACTGTGAATGTGTGAAACAACAAAATTTAAATTTTTGCGTATATAAAGCTGAATATAATACCAACAAAACCTGGTTGGATATACAGTTCATTAAGCTCTGGATTTAAACTAAAAACCTTCGATCTCCACTTTAAGGTATTACCTTACTTTGCAAAGCAGATAAGTAACCTACAGAACTCAAAAAAGTTATTCACGAACCAAATGAATGATCTTTCAATATCATGCAAAGGTTTTTATATCCCTGAAAAGTAAACATTCTGTCAGCTAAACACCTCAATTTATTTTGTTTGGAATTTGTTCCACAGTTGACCTATAAAAACTTGATTTTTAGGAATTAATTGTTGCACGTGTTTGTATTTGTGTTATCCAACACATTTGAATACAACTCTTTGCAGATTCCATTTAATATGATCATAATGTAAATACAATAAAGATTTAGGAGCATAAGAAAGACAGAAATAAAGGTAAAGAGAAATTTATAGCAGTTTTTCAATATCCGATGTTTTGGATATCCACAAAAAGCCGGTCGTATTTACCCAGTTGATTTTTTTAATTCTTTTTTTATTGAATCAGATCCTTTCAGATACTTTCAAAGTATAACAAATTCTACTTACATACACCCATGTGCACTGCCTTTCCCATAGACAAGAAGTAGGGCTTTTGTTTTTAGTTTTTATGCAGTTGACTTGTAGCTATCAAAGTAAAAAAAAAAATACTTCTTTGTCACACCATCTGGCATTTATTTATAAACACCTACTGAATTATACGGTCTTTTGAAAAATTGAAGCATGAAAGTGTTTAATGTTGATAGGTATATTACGTTTAACTGTGGATGACTTAAAATCACAGCTATAACAGTTAGTAAACAATTATGTCCCAATCAGTAGCAAATATCTTTTTACATTTCTCCTCTGATGTTTTTCTCCTCTCATACCCTTCTTTCTCTGGTTGTCATAGTAACATGAAATGGTTGCATGCTGTAGAGCAAAAACAGAGTGGGGGATTGAATTTAGAGCCTGTGAGTTAGATTGTTTTACATGATGTTTTAGATCACACACACACGTTGTGTCATACTATCATTGTGGGGACTTGTCATTGACTTTTATTGACTTTGTGTTCATTTCTATGGCCTAACTAAATGACCCTTACCCTAACACTATCCATTACCAACACAATCCTAAACCTAATCCTAATAAACCTAATAAACTCATTTTACACTTAAGTCCTAAATCTACAGTAACCCGTGACTAAAGAAAAAAAAATTCTCATTGTGACCAGTTGACTGGTCCCCAAAATGACCTGTAAGTCCCCACAGTGTAGCTTTTTTTCTGAGAAACTGGCATTACAGTGTCCCCACATGGTAACAAATACATGCAGAAGTGCTTAAAGTCTCTCATTGTGGATGCAGTAACAGCAATGGCTCTTTATATGACTTCAGATTTTTTTATGCACCACATTTATCACCAGTAACAAAGCTGTATCTGAAGATTATTTTAGATTTTGATAATTGAAAATAAAATGTACCTTTTTGTACCTAAAAGCTAAATATATATTACATTACACTTGTGTAACACTCTTAGCAGAGGTGCTAGCAGTAACAGACTTTTCATGGGCATTAGACTGCTGTGGGGTAGGCATAAGTTAGGCTTTTGTTAGAAAGAAGTGCTGGACCCGTTATGAATACTCTATTTATATTCCCAAAACTGAAAAAACAAAAAAAAAAAAACAAAAAAAAACATAGAAAGTTCAGCGTATCCCAGCGTTTCTGTCAAGATTCTGGCTAAATTGTCAAGGTGTGGCAGCACCATAAGGGGTTCATGAGAAGTCAAATGAAGATCTTTTTTTCTGACATTGACAGAGTATTCCAAATCAAATTGCTGGAACTCAGCAACCTTTGTTTTTTAGTCCTGTGTTGTACTTTTTTAACAGAGCAATTTGTAAAGAAATACAGTTTACAAAATTGTTTTCTCTTTATGTTACAAACAACTCTGGCAAGATGCCATAGTAATTCAGTTGTTTACAATTTTTCAGTTCAACTAACATTTTTTTTATGAAAACAAATTAAACTGACTCCTGATGAAATCTAGAAAGTGTTCTGTCAATACATATCTGTGCATCTTAATTCTCTATCCATTTAGCCAGTATTAAAATGGAGGTTTCTATCCATCAATATATGATGAAATATTTTTCTAACTAAAAAGGTGTATATTGTATGCGTTTCATTTTATGCTCTCAAAACATTTGCATTGTTTACAGAGTACTGAGTTTGTGTTTGGTTTCTGGACTGGGGTACGATGAAAACCAATGACCTAGCTGGGAAGTTTTCTTTTGCTGATATTTCATTTCATGTCAGCTTTGCCTGCTATGGGGAGGAAAGATGACAACTGTAACACCCTTCTCTTGTCTCTGTTTACATTTCTCTTCACACATTCCATGAGGGGCTGTTATTTCAATTAAGGAGAACCTTAACAGTCAGTTTGAAGAGAAGAGCAAGGGTGTCTTCTAAACTCCAGGTTTTTTATCATTATTATAATCAGATAATGATAGACAAGCATTGATTTTTACACTCAAAACGTACATTTTTTTTGCAGTCATTCAATGCAAAAAGTCCCATTTCATTGTCAAGTTGCTGTACTGTATTTTAATTCAATATAGTTCATTTTATTAATATACTGTAACAGCACATGTCATATCAAGGCACTTTACAGAGACATTTCAACCAGATCATTCCGTAGGATTGGTTTATCTAAGGAAAACCAGCTGATTGCATTGACTCATTGACTCGACAGTAATCCCTCACACCAAGTATTTTAATGGATCGTGGTCCAATATGTCACTTGACATCCAAATTGACCAAGCCATTTGTCATGAACCTTTAGATGCACTGCTACTGGAGCCAGGAAAAAGTGTTAGAATGTACCTGGAGAACACTGCAGATACATTCAAAACCGCTGGATAGATATCTGATTGTTTCTTAGGTGACAAATTCAGAATTAGGAAAAAAGATAGGAGCAAAAATATTCATTTGCCTGCTGTATGAATGCAATTATCTATACTACTACATTCTTCTGTGTTGCAAAGTTATGTGCTTTTGAAATTAAGTACATCATGCTTCAGCACCAGCATTTTAAAGTGATTTGTTTATTTTGTCCTTCTGCTTGTGGCAGAACCTGTGACTTGTATTTGAAGCTGGCTTGATTTATTAAGCTTGGTTGAATGTCGTTACTATAGAGTCTAATCAAAATCTTCTATTTCTTCTGTCTTTGTGTCCTCTAACACCCTTCACCCCCCTGCTCTCCCCCATATCTGTCGGTGTCTGCAGTGCGACAATGCCAAAGGGCTGAGGGCTTTCTTTGACGCCATATGCTATGGTCCAAAACACCTGATGATCTTCGGAGGTGTCTGCCCTTCTGTGACGTCCATCATTGCAGAGTCTTTGGAAGGCTGGAATCTGGTTCAGGTAGAGAAATATTGTACATGTTATCACTGGTGTGTGTGTGTGTTCTTATATATGTTACCTATTTAGGACTGTTTTTGCTAACGCTCTGAGGACCAACAGGCCTTTTGGGGACCAAAGGCTGCTCCTAATGTGGCAGATCCCCATTTTCTTAGCCTAGGGTTATGGTTATGGTTAGGAATATACTGATAATGGTTAGGGTTATGGTAAATGTCAGGGTTAGGCTTAAATGCAGTAACTAAAATTATTGTAAGTCAATGTAGACTCTAAATACGGATAGAAATACAAACTTGTGTGTATGTTTGGGTGTTGATGTGTCTAAATGCATAGTATTTAGGATCATATATATATATATATATATATATACAGAAGCAAAAATCCAAAAAACATAAATGCGCAAAAAAACTAAAACCAGGAATACTCACTACAAGGGATAAATAAAATAAAGACCAGGCTACAGTAATGAGGCTAATAAGGAGATCGGGAGCAGGTGTGAACAGAGGCAAGAACAGAGCCAAGGAAAAGCAGAACACAAGAGGGCAAACAAGAAATATCTAAGAACTCAAATACAATCAGAAATAACTAGAACACAAAAATGGAAATAGGCCAAATAAAAACTCAGAGATAAAACTTGAACAGAACCAAAACCATGACAGTTTTAGAGGTATGGAATTAATCAAATTATGTTAAGTTTAGGAATATAAGTCATAAATGCAGTTATTGAAATCAATGTCAGGCAATATAAAATTAGTATAATTGGAAATACAATCTTGTGTTTGTGTTTGTATGGCGGGGTCTGTGTGTGTTTGCTCCACTGTGCATCTTTTTATACACTTGTGTATTGGTTCTTATTTTTTTTCAGTGTCTGCATAGTTGTTTAACATCCTTCTACATTGCTGATTTAGGAAACTGATACGAATACTTCTTTGTTCTTAGTTTGCAGTCTTTTATGAGCAACTCTATTTTTTTTCTAAGTGGAGATTTTTTTTTTAAACGTCTGTCATATATATATGTACTAGAAATTTAGTTATAAGAAATTATGAAATACACCTAATGTTTTAGTACGTGGTTGTGCTTCCCTGCATACAGAAGTGTTTTGTGGCATAGATTCAGCAAGGTGTTAAAATCATTCATCTGCAATTTTGGTCCGTATTAAGGAGAGAGGAGAGAATCGCACAGCTGCAGTTGCAGTATGCCAGCTGCATATCTATGATGTAAATCTCCTATTCTGTCACATCCTAAAGGTTCTCTAGTTGTGGATTGAAATCTCATACAGCAATAATGGTCATTTTTGAGAAACCAGCTTGAGATGATTTGAACAAGATAGCATGAAGCATTATGATACTGTACTTCAAGTATCCATTCCAAATTAGCAGAGTGCTTGGGTCCTGCATTATTGTGCAAACTTAAAGTTGCCATAAAAAAGCTTGATAAGAAACTGATTGGTGAGCTACAACTATCTCTGAATTTATCAGTGATTTAAAATCCTGTCTTGATATTTCATCATAATTCTGTCTCCTCCCAAATGCTGTTTTATACACTGCCCATATTTTAAAACTGGCAGGAAGGATGTTTTGGCACTTGTATGAAATAGCAAGTGTAAGAACTTGGATCTGTTGCTATAATTATCTACATTTATATTTTACAAATCATTTACACCAGCTGCTGATGTTGACATTTGATGCTATTAGTTCTGCATGGCATCACAACTGCAGATTGAGAAAATTAAAACCTTTTACTCTCTGACCACTTGAGTTGCAGCTCTCTGTCTGGGAATCTGCTCTGCATGCACCACAGAGGGAGACCGCCTCCTTTCACAGAAACATTTCATTTGTTGTGAACCTTCCAAAGGTTATCAGGCATAGATAAGGAGAGAGGAAGCTTGTGCTTTAAAGAGGGGGCATTCTTGAGGAGACTGCATTTTGAACTGAATGTCACTGGATGTTTTACGTTCCTTCTGCTTGCTGTTACCAGGAATCTGCTGCTTTTTATATTGCTCTATGGCTGCTTTCCTGTGCAGGTGTTAAGAGGGAAGTCATACATGAGATAGAAGTTGGGGATTTTTGTACCAGGGTCTTCATTTTTTTCTTGATAAGTCCACATAGAATGGCTCGGCTCACAGCTATGTTACAAGTGTTCTTCAATTTCCTCTTTGAGTTTTTGGTATTTCTCGAGGTTGCTTCTTCTTGTATGTACCTTAATGAAACTCTTTCATTCATCCCCAATGCCCAGTTAGTAAACCACCTAATTTCTAAATCTAGTTCTTAACCATTCTTGGTGGCGTTTCCCCGTTTGATTCCAGGAGTTTCTGCCCAGATATTTATGTACACTATTCAATTCACTTTGTAATCCCATTCAATGTATGCTTTACCTACCCCCTTTTATAGATATGACTATTTTAGGACCTCTTTGCCCAGTCTGTATCCTGGGTCCTTTCAGAGCTGGTAGACCACAGTCTTGATTGCTCTTGCAAATGAATCCTGCTCTTGTGTGGCCATTCTATTTTCAAAAACATTTATGTTGCAGTGGGATTCTTCTTCCTGATCTACTGTAGGATCTTTGCTGCTTCATATTAAATGACTTGTCTTTTGCGCATTTTACTATGCCCTGCTTTACAATTTACACATGAAATTGTTATAAAAAAATAATAACAAAGCAAAAATATTGCTCATATGCCTACTCTGTTAAAAGTGAAAAGATCATTTAACTTATAAGGTAAAGGTCAGTTTAATCTTGCCAGCCACAAATTACTTGGTGAAGTGCTGAGGCGTCAACATAGTGTGAAGTTTGGGAAAAGCTGCCACTAATTTGTTGGTGTCAGTAGTTGTATTGATAGCTTAGAAGAGCTGAACAGATAAAGTGCTCTGGAGAAAAAAATAGCCCTAAAATGTGTGTTCTTTAAAGCATAAACGTGCTACTGCACCTCTCAGAGGTATCTTTCCCAAATAAACTAATAAAAACAAGAAGACAGCGAACACTCATAGCAGTCAGTTAGGAAGTTATGGAGACTCGAAGACTTAGAGGTTCAATTTGTTATTGGATATATTAGGTCTGTAAAGCCCTAGCTTTGGGAGTTACTGCAGCAGATTCCACAAAAAGTGTTTGAAAACAAAAGATATTATACATTTTTGGCCAATACTTGTGCCGTTTTTTTCTTTTCTTTAGGTAAATCAAAATATGCATTCACAGGTTAATCATTTGAATTAGCAGCCATGCCTTTAGATCACATAGGGGGCTTGCTCAGCCTCTCCCTTCATTTGCCATCAATTGTTTATTTTCTTTTTATGAAATAAAAAAAAAAACAATTCATGGTCATAAGCAGATAAGCTGCTGAAAGGGCCAGAAAGTTGGCATGTGTTTACAGTGCAGGCATGGTACGGCCAAGATAGGTGCATCCTAGAGGAGGCCGGTTAACACTTTCTTACACAGCGCTGCTGCTTGTGTTTGTGGGGCAGGTAGGGGTTCCTCAGAGATCAGATTTCATGAGGATTCCATTTGACTTGTCCTGTTAACACAGCCATCAAAGAACCAGGGCAAAAAGTCTGCATGATTGGAGTGAAGGAATCACATTATAGCCTTGTAATGACATCCTTTGCATATCTAAGGTAAGACTGATTAAATTATATTATCAACAATATCTGATTTATCAATGAGTGAATCTTACACATCCTCAATTCCTTTGTATTTCAGGAATTAAATGCATTCTTTAAATTCATAGTAGATTATTTGGAAAATCTGCAAAAAAATTTTTAGTTCGGGTACACTCACAATTTCTACTTTCACAAAAGATGCAGTGTATGAAGATTCTACAATAGCTTCAAACTAGATTGATGCCCTTTAAGCAGACAAAAAGAAAAAAAAGGTTGCTTTAGCAAAAAATATTATGCTGTCGGAGCCATATGGTGGAGGGGTGAGATGAGAGCAAGTTTTTAATCCTGCACTCTGCAATTTGGGCCAGGTTTTAAATTTGATCATTCACCACCTAGATTATTCTGCGGTAAAACCATTTTGCAAAAATAAATAAATAAATAATAATAGATTATTAGAAGGCAGATTCCTTAAATTGTGGTGCATAGCTACCATTTGAACCTCAAACAAAACAACAACAAAAGTCATAGAAAAGGTTAATCCAGTGGTAGTGTCCAGGAAAGTCTTATTTTAAAGGCTAACCTACAAGAAGCTCACACTGCATATCGTCCTGATGCAATGTTCACATTCAGCTCTAGAAGCAAATACAATTTTATATTTTCATTTAGTTGTTAAAAAAATGGCATAATTGGCAGTAAAGTAGTTTCTCGGAAAATATGTACATCCAAAGAAAGATTATTATAAAAATATGATTATTAAAAAGAATATAGTTAGTTATCTACTAAACAGAAAAAGGGACTATGGATAATGGCATAATTAAAGCCTGATACACAAGCAAGCCATGTTTCATCCATAGGAATCATGGTGAGACTTTAAATCATTAATCCAATTAAGGAAAATTATGTATCTGTTCTATTATGTCTAAATTGTCTCTGAAAGCTCAGTCATCTGAAAAGTTCAGTTAACCTAGGCACAAACCTCAGGCGAAGGCATGACATCTACAATGAACAACCTTTAAAATTTAGCTAAGTATTGTGATTAATACCTAAAATATGATGTGCTTAATTACCAATGAATCTAAAGATAATCCTTGACTTGTCTAAAAACTATAATTGAGACTGACATTTAGGGTTAGCAAAAGTAGTTTATCACTTAAAACGGAAAACAGTTATTAAGAAATAAAATCAAAACTAAAGCATAAAACTGAAAAATTAACTGAAAGTAAAAATGTATAAAAAAATTTTTTTGAAGAATTTTCTTAATTGCCAAATATGTTGCAATTTTTCTTACATATGTCACAATATACATTTCAACTTGGAGAGACTCACATGGATAAAATAAGCAATTAAAAAGATTTTATAGAAATAAAGGAAAATAAATAATTTGGGTCCCAGCAGAAGACAGTATGATGTAAG